TTTTTTTTTCCTGTGCTCTTTATCCATTTTTCTGCTGTAGTCTCCAAGGGCAATTGTATTTGCCTCGTTGGCTGTCCCCGGGGCTCCGGCTCTTGAATAACAGGCTTCGTTCCTCTCCTCTCTCCATAGATTATTTTGCTGACCTTCAGGGCCGCTCGGATGACGACCCGGGGCTTTATTGGGAATTCTATGGCAGCGCTGTGTGTGGTGAGTACTGATCAGCACTCTGTGTGTGTCCTTTAGTGCTTACAAAGTCTTTATTTTTAAACATCATCAGTGTCCGTGCATCCTCCTCATTTAGGCAAAGGCAGCTTTATGGTAATGTTGACGCTCACTAAAAATGTTCCATGTGTGCTTTTTTTACATTTTAGAGTCTAGCGAAGAAGGCGGCATCTACGACATCCTGGCCGACCCCCCAGGCCCAGAGGACGAGGACGAGGATGATAAAAGGGAGGTGTTTGAGTTCGAGTTCTCTGACCGACCTCTCCTGCCTTGCTACAACATCCAGGTGTCCCTCTCCCAGGGGTGAGCTTTGATCTTGAGAGCACCCTTTTCCTTTTTTTTTTCCTTCCTCTGTTGGCCCTCATTCCTAAACATTGGTTGGTGTTCCTCCTCTTCCAGACCGAGAAACTGGCTGCTGCTGTCCGACGTGCTTCGCCGGCTGCGGATGTCGGCCCGCGGGTTCCGACAGACCTTCCCCCACATGGAGGTGGTGACGGTGGCGGAGGCAGAGTTTTACCGACAGGCGTCCCTGTCGCAGCTCTTCTCCTGCCCAGAGGAGCTGGAGGGCTTCCATCCCGACAGCAAGGAGCTGCTGGACCTGGTGGAGGACAGCGCCGAGCTGGCCGCCCTGCTGGGCTCCACGCTGGAGTGTCTGGACGACCGCTGGGACCACCCGGGGGACAAACTGAAGGACAAAATCAAGGCCGTCGGCAAGTTGGGCTCATCCTGACCCCTCTGACCCGCTGAACCCTGACCTTGAAATCCTTATCGACTGCAGTTTGCTTCAGAACCGAGCAGGGGTTGTGATGATTTGCCTTATAGCCTGACGCTTCGTTCCTGCGCTTCGGCCCGAACCCGGACCAGCACTGGTGCACTGTACAGATGGACTGACCTACTGGCTGACTGGGCTGCTGAAACGTTTCCCTCTGAGGATCAATACATTTGTGACTCAACAGACTTAATAATGGTCTTATTTTTATAAATTAATATATGTATAAATAAATAAATATATAAATATATAAATATATATATATATAAAATATCGAGAGATTTTTTTTTTTCCCGGATGTTGCTCACGACTCTTCCCTGAAAGATTTTTTTATGGAGCTGCAGTCGCGTTGCCAGCGACTGGACGGAGTGTGTGTGTGTGTGTGTGTGAGCGCGCAGCACATTGTGCATGTGTGTAGCTGTACAGAATAGTACTGAGGCTGTGCTATTGAATGTGGTATTTGTGTTTATAGGAAGCACATGATGTCCTGTTTTTTTTTTTTTTTTTTTCTTCCTTTCTTCCTCCTCAGACTTTAGTGCTCGCTTGAGCCTCAGGGGCTATTTTGTTGTATTTTTTTATGTTCAGATTTTTTGCTTCCTGTTTAGTCTGTAATTTAACATGCAAAACTACAAAATTGTTTGTATAATAAAAGTTTTAAGATGATGTTGATATTTCACCCTTCGGCACAGAGCTTGTACATAACAGGGAGGCTACTGCAGTAAAGTAATTTCTGGTGTGTTCATTTTTGTTTTAACTTTGTAATTAAAATATCTCATAATTTGTATTTATATTTTACAAAAGAAGTTGCTTTAAAATAAATATACAAACTGCAAGATGAGCTATGCGTTCTGCTCCTCATTGTGTCGTCGGTGAATTAATTTGCGCTCAGACAACTTAAGTTTTGATGGGTGCCCTGTCAGAGACAATCTTTATGCCCAATTACTCCTGGATGTGGTCGAGGCTTGAACGCCAGCGCGATCCTATATTGCCATCTCTTGGAAAATGTTAGTACTGTAGGTGTCGGCAATTTATTGCTGCAGCCATGAGAGAACAATTTGCCAACTCCCTTGTGCCGTGTCTGCGTGAGCAAAGCTGGTGGCTTGCAGTGCTCTCTAGTGTACAAAGCTGGAAATAGAGCACATTAAGCTGCAATGAGGGAACACCAGAGGTAGGAAAAGTCAGAAATTCAGAGTAGCAGAGCAGATAAAACTGACTAAAATGCATAAATAAAAAAAAGTCGATTTAAAAAAACAAAAAAAAAAAACAGATCTTGAGTTTGTTTTTAAAAACTATCAAGACTCTCTTCTGCCCTCAGGCCTTCAGGAAGCTGTTCTCAGAGACTTGTGGCGTAATAACAAATGGATGCGTCACTGTGGGTTGTTGTTGTTTAATTAAAAAGCTACCAAAAGACCTGAGGGTTCGACAATAATGTTTGGGCTCAGTGAAAGACATGAACGCAGTAGCTTGTGTCAGTCTTTTTTAGTTATGACAACTTCTGATTTAAGTATGTTCCACCAACAAACTACAGTGAGTTGAGGGAATTAGTTTTTCCTTTCCATTTAAATGTTCATTACCACTCAGTTATTGATTGGTGGCATAAACACATACGTTTTTCAGTTGATTACTCATAAATATAAGGTCGTTCCAAGTAGTATTTCCACATGATTTAACCAGAATTTTTAAATTGTGTTTTGTATTTAGTTTGCAGAATTATGAACACAAGTTTTTAATTCGACAAATTAAGAAAATAAATAAAGTTGCTCCAGTCTTAGGAAGGTAGGGGAGGGGACTTGATATCCTGACCTCAAGATGAGGAAAAATGAAGTCAAATTTGTTAGGGTGCCCCAACTAAAATTTAGTTTTAAAACAACTAACGCAGAAATTTTAGTAGAAATTTACCACAATACTAAGTTGATACAATTACCACTATGGTACCAAATTTTACTCCAAACCCTTAAGACACAATCCAACTCTCCAAAACTTGAAAAAATAAATAAAATAAATCCACCAATATTATGTCAAATTAACCGATCCAAAATAATCTTTCAACCCAAAAGGTTTATTTAAATCAGTAAATTAGATTTGTTATCTTGCAGCCGTGGTGGGAACGGGCCCTTTAAATTACTTTTTTGAGTGTAGGATAAAAACAAATCTGATAAATAAGTGCGACCAAGACCAGTCAGAGTTGTATAAACTAATTAAAGGATTATAAAATGACTTCTAAAGCAGACAGGCAGCCTCTGCAGAGATTCTGCTCTCCTTCTGATCTTAGTCAACACATGTGCAGCTGAGTTTTAAAGCAGCTGAAGTTGAGATATATTCTTCTTGGGGAGACCAGAGAGCAGAGTATTACAATAGAAAGTCAAAACCAACAGTAGTGATTCTGATTTGGCTTAAGAGAGAAACAGCTGCAGATTGGCAATGTTTTTTAGATGTTAAAATGCATTCTTATTTATGTCTCCAACGTGAGAATTGAATCTGAGTCGAGGGTTTTTCGCTCGCTGCGTTGGGATTTGCTGTTTCATATTAAGTTTCTGTCTCTGAGTTTCAGCACTAAACACTTGAGCTTTTTTTCTGACTGTACTGGCATGAAAACTAAAATGGAAACACCATCCTCGGATAATTATTTAATATGTCAGACCAAAGGGAGTTTATTTTGTTGTCTGCATCAAGGCAACATCATTTGATAATTTGCTAACTGATTTGGGATAAAAATGCACCACTTAATCTCAATATAAGCTCAAATAATAATCGTTTAAAGGTGGTAGACTTATTATCCAATCCTCTAGTCACATTTGGTATTTTTCATGTTGTCAACAAATGCCATGAATACACAAAACCATTATTGTAAACAAACTACTAAAAACACAAACGCTGTTGCAGTGGCTGAAATGTTTCCTCATATTGATGACCACGAGCCCTCTAGTACCACTTAAACCATCCTGCTGCCATAAATAGGCCCACTAATGCACAAAACTGCTTAAAATAGTTCACTGCAACACACTGCTGACTGTTTTTTTTTTATTTATTTTTTTACTATTTGCTAGAAATCTACAGTGCTCTGCTTTTGGGTTGGTATTGGTTAAAACAGACAGACCACAGACTTGTTAATGACATGGGGTTTGTTGACAGCAGCTGTCAAAAATATCGCCTTTAAACTGAATATATAGACTCACCTGTCAAATCTGATAAATAGTTTGGTGACTTTATCCCAAAATAAGGTTTCAAAAGTAGTTTTACTTGCAGGTTGTGCTTCTACATGTGCACACAGATCAGTTTAGAAAGCCCTGATGTGTCCAACTTCTCTGGTCTATCCCACCAGAACACTTGAATAAATGTCATTCTGATTTACATTATGGATTGTTAGGGCCCCTTTTGTGCGATTAACATCGTCTTGTATGTAAATGAATATGTGCAAGCCTCCGTCCCAGATTGATGCTTACCGTTTGGACCAGGACCCCAAAGCTGCCCTTCCGATCGAGCTGCACCAATCACCACAGCTCCCTTTAAGACCTTGAGAAAGACGTCCCTCCAGGCAGCTGTGATTTGGCATGAGCAGCTCGCCGCTGTGGCTCTTAAACTGGTTCATAGCAGATCTGGGTGTCGTTCAGTTGAATGCATGAGACACTTGCTGTCAGTGGAGGCTGGACCAGGTTTAGGGGTTTTGTTTTGCACATTTTGTTAAGCGCATTTGGAGTCTAAGTACGTTTGTTTGCCAGGTTTTTAGGGTGCTGATCCAACTGTAATTTTAGTTTGGGTAAATTTCAGTTCTTTTGCTTTAATGTAGACTTCCTGTTAGAAGTCCTCGTTTTGAGTAGCATCCACCCAATTAGATTTTTTTTTGTTCTCAAAATGTTCTGAGAGTGTTCTACAAAGTTCTAGTGATATTTTTCATGGGATGCTTTGCAGTTTTTTGTTCTTTTAGTTCCTAGAATGTTCTCTTTAAAGGCAAGGCATTGCTGGATCAGTATGCAGTGATAGTCTTCAAACAGTTTTCAAATGTTGCATTTAGAACATCCTCCCTTTGCTATCCTGTTATATTGGGTAACACTGTGGCAATATTTATTTTTTTTTTTTAAGTTCTTATGTATTACCTCAACAAAATTGTCTATCATTGCAAAAATATCACAACACAGGGACATTTTATATAAAAGACGCTGTTATGACCTTCTCAGGAGGTCACAACAAATAAGGAAGAGCACCATGGTAAACATTTAAATAGTTCTTTATTAAATCATATATGACCAAATTAGATAGCCAATCAAACTTTGGTGTGCCTGTAGAGCAGGGGTGGGCAATCCTGGTCCTCGAGGGCCACAATCCTGCATGTTTTAGATGTTTCCTTCTTCCAACACACCTGATTCAAATGATCAGGATCGTTATCAGGCTTCTGCAGAGCTTGATGATGAGCTGATCATTTGAAACATTTGTGTTGGAAGAGAGAAACATCTAAAACATGCAGGATTGTGGCCCTCGAGGACCAGGATTGCCCACCCCTGCTGTAGCGAAAGCCAGAGTAGAGAAGAGAGAGTTAGAGCAACTACAGGACTTATGTAACTTCCTCCCACTGGGCCCAGGTGTGCTGAGTTACTCCAATCAAGCCACTGCAAATGAGAAACAGGTAAGGACACACCTCTAAGATGACAACAGCGGTAACGACACTCCCCGGTGATCCCACAGGGGCATCACAGACACTCTGTCATCAGGGGGACTAGATAACATCCTAAAAACATTTTTCAGTGTTGGTGTGAGAGGATCCTTTTTTTGTTATCATGTAACATAAATGGTGTTCAAACATTGTCCAAGCATCCTCTGAATGTTGCACTTTGTGTCTTATCATTAGTGGATATGATAAATATCCTTTAACATGTTTGCTGAACATGAGACTAAAACGTTTTCTATCAAACATGATTGGAACTTTTAGCTTATTTTTGTCAGTGTTAGCTGGGCATTGCCCTCCTTTCCTCAATACAATCTGTTCTGATTTATTGCTGTTATCACAAAGACCTACTTACATTAAAATCAACTTTGGTTCAACAGCAACCTGGTTGTTTATTTGTTGCTTCCCTTTTTCCAGGTGAAGTGGTTTGTACCATGAAAACAGTCAAGAAAAACAATTTTATAAATAGATTTTCTGAAACAAAATCTCTGTAAGTAGTGCAACTGTCCTGAAGCTCAACTGTGCTCTAACATTAGTCCAACAACTGACAATTGTCTCTTTGACATTGCAGAATTTTGCTTTAGGCAAAATATAATGTCCGTTGTCTGCTGTGTGCAGTTAAGGTGACTGGATGCGTGCAGTGGGGTTTGCTGGGCTTCACAGGACTATACCAGAACCCAGGAGTGGATTATTCAATGGTCTGGATCATATTCTTTGAATGTGCGGATCAACTCTTCTCACATGCGTCCAATCAGCCACTGAAGATCTGGATTTACAGGCTGCTGTAGAGAAAACCAGAAGACTGTGAGGCTCTGAGGAATGCAGTGAATTAGCAGGAAAAATGATGACTGTAGTAAAGTCGCTCACACAAAACAGGTAGGGCTTAAAACTAAACTCCCAGCTGCTCTGCGTCTGCAGAGTGGGGGCCGAGGGATCCATGTGTGACTGCCAAGCGCAAAATTCAGGAGTTTTAGCTGATCCACAAGCTGACACTTGAGCTTGAAAGATGGGCCATCCAGCTCCTGAGACCATAAATAAACCTTTACAGAA